TGAGGAGGGCTGGGAAAGGGGGGGAGGGTGAAACAAGGCGAGGAAGCTGCGCAGGAGAACAAGAGCGGCGGTGAAAGGAGCGGCCCGACTGGGGCGGCGTGGGGGCGGCACTAGTGACCGGGCAGGGGGGTGGCCCGCTCCACGCGAGGAAGATCCCCTGCGGATCAAGGCCGGGGATGTCTCGCCTTTCGGCAGCACAGGCCGAGTGGAGCGGAGCGGACGTGTGGAGTGAAGCAGAGTGAAGCCTGGCGAAGCGGGGCGGGGCGGCGGCCAATGTTTTTACGCCCCGCTGCCGTCCGTCTCGGGACGGGGCGGCTCTCCGGAGCGGCGCGCAGATCCTCCCTCTCCCCCTCCTCCTCCTCTAGTATTTAACGAGTTGTGTTAACGTCGAGTCAACTTTGGCGGCGTTGTGTTCCCCGCGCACACAGAAGAGACGCACGCGCCGCGCCGCGGGAGGCCCGAGGATTTAGGCCCGCTCTTGCCAGTTATGCAAAGCCAGTAGTGGAGTATGTAGTTTTGGCTCCGGCCATGCCTAGCCTTGCTCGACCCCCACGGGGCTCCCCCTCCGTCTGTCTCTCTCGCTCTCTCTCTCTCTCACACCCACTCTTCCCCCTCATTACACTCCACGCACATTCCCGCTCCCTCGCCGCTCCCTTTGCCGCGCTGGTGCTCACGCTGGCGCTGTAGACCCCGAGCCTGATAATGACGCCGCAGGGATGTGCCGGGGAGCCCTGCGGCGCCCTGCGGCGCCCTGCGGAGCCCTGCGGAGCCCTGCGGAGCCCTGCGGAGCCCTGCGGAGCCCTGCGGCGCCGTGTCGAGTGGCCCGGGGTGTGGCGTGGCGGAGCGTAGCGGCGCCCTGCCCGCGGCGTGCCGGCTGATAAGCCCCAACCCCTTCCCTTCACCCCTTCTGCGCGGCGCGAGGCGTTCGATGCCTTACAAATCACGACGACTTGCTGGCCTGCTCGCCAACCTGCCTTCCTCTTCTCTTCTCCTCCGCCTTCTCTCTGTTCTTCCTGCTCTTCCACTTGCATCCCCGTTCTTGCTCTCCTCCCCGTTCGTCGGCATCCTCCCCCCGAGCCCCGCCCCTCCTCCCCGGCCTGGCCCTGGCGCCGCCGCAGAGCCCCGGCCCGATGCGATCCAACACGATGCGCAATTTGGTGGGCGTGGAGCAGCAGCTCTCGGGCCGCGTTGTGGCGGGGCG